ACATGTACACTTTGAATATACTTCCATTTTTTCCTCAACTATTTGTCTTACTGAAAAGATTTGGTCTGTTATCAACCTAATCTTCTGGAATCCACATTGGTTTTCTCTCAGAATTGTTCTTCCCATATCTCTGGTCATTTTACTGAAAAAAACTGTTTTTCTTGAAGGCCCATGTCCTGGAGTCATGTGATTGTGAAATATTTTTATTTAAAATAGACAGGAGGTATGCCTTTAAAGAAAAATCAAGACATGTAACACCTAAAGCTTCTAAAACCAGGAGGCACCTACAGAAAATGCCCTGATTTAATATTTTGTTTAGTTTCATGATATTTAAGGCAACCACAAGACTTTTTGGGGCCTGATACTTGATATTTTGCTGCTCAGAGTTGGCACTACTGTACACAATCCAGGTGAAGCTTGGTTGGGCTGCCTCTGATCATGTTCTTCTGGGACATTACTATGCTTGGTGCACAAGCACTCTGCTATATCCCATCCTGTGAAGGACAGTGAAAAGCTGTGAAGTATGGAAGAGCAGGGTTATTTGTGTCACCCCTTGAACTTACTGCAAAACAAGGGATTAGCAATAGAAAGCACAGGCTCCTTTTGTGCCTCCCCTCAACCTCCTTTTCAGTCTCCACTAATCAACACAGCTTTTGAGGCTATCTAGTAATTCAGCCAGGGACATGTCTCCAAACAACTGGTATCAGAAAACATTTTAGCTGTTCCACCGGAAGCAATTCCAGCAGCTACTCAAAGTCTGCAAACTCATTTTGATGCGTATGGATCAAAGTCAAAGCCAGGCTCATCAAAGGGGTGGAACAAGAGAACCATAAGTGTACAAAAATGTGTAAGAGATCTGAGAGATAAGATTAAAGAAGCAGAAGTTCAGAAAGAAAAACAAGGGCTTCAAGCCGGGCAGTGATTTTACTATTACATGGAAAAACTCCAAAATCTACAGCAATATTACGTATTTTGGGAGAGAGAAAGGGTACCTGAAATAATTTTTAGGTACCAAATTCCAATTATCCACACCTTAGATATTTTTTTAATATTTTGTATGTCTTTTAAATCTACTCTTGTTTAATCAATGTCTGCTTTATCTGCCAACAATGTTGGCTGCATTGGCTCTAGCACTGCCATGTGGCTGATATGTGTATTCTGACTCCAGCATGGAGGGGGGAAAAATGTACTACTTATAGATAAAATAATATTTGTTTTTTCCCAGTGCCAGAAGAAGCACAGTGTAAAAGAACCGTTGTCTCTAGAGTTCTATGTTTTTCTTATAGTTTCCAGCAAAATTCAAGTTTCCTCAAGATCCTTAAAAGATTTTTTTTTTTAAATAAAATGAGCAGGATGCAATTTTTTTTTTAACCAACACAATTAAGTAAAGAAGACACTGACTGAAATGGAAATTCTCCCCCATGAGGATGTGGAAGATAATTCTTTGCTACCTGATTGCAAGAGGCTGCTGGATTTTAACTCTCTCCTTTTCTTTCCCTATTTTTATTTACATGTTGGCTATCAAACTGGTGATGTATCTGGCTGTTACTTTCTAGGCCTAGTTGTCACAGGCCCAGTTCAGATCACTTTGGGGAATGGACAAATAAACAAGTTGTAGCAAATTAAAAATGTGCCTACTTTTACCCCCTGGTGGCTTAGCCATATTTTGCTGAGGGGGTAATTTCCTTAGTTCATTCAGCATTCACTTACCCTGGGCCAGAGCAGGCATATGGATTGTTATTGGACACTAGTACACATGACAAAAATTGCCCATTTTTGTATTTTAATTGCTTCACACTTTACATATATGGGGTTTTTTTGCAAATTAAATGAGTTTGTTACATTGCAGACTAAACCACATCCCCATGTAGTTTAGTTTGCAATGTTGCTACTTTTAATGTTGCAGCCTTTAATCTGACAGGTTGCCTCCTGGCCACCGGACAGCCAGGCTGAAGGGAGAAGTGGCAAGGGGCCCGATACTTTTTTATTTCCCCCTCCCCCCACACAAAGCCTGCCCACCTCTCCTGCAGCTGGGGGGCAAGCTGCCAGTGGGCTGAATGGCCCCTGAGCTGCAGGGGGCCCCAGTTCTTCCCTCTGTGGTGGTGGCACCCCCTGGGGCTGCCTGGGTGGGCTGCTAGCAGGCCAGATGCTGCCCCAGCTTGGAGGCAGCACCCACCAGATCCAACTGTTCCTTGAGCCTGCCAGGGCTTCCAGAGCACTGTGTACTGTCCTCACCGCCTTCCCACTGCCTGGGACCAGCTGGGAATGGGCTGACTTGCCCCTGGTGCAGCAGGAGGAAGTGGCAGGAGGCTGGCTGGGTGTGCTGGCAGCTGAAGAAGGCGGTAGGAATGATGCACAGGTGCTGAAAGCCCGAGCGGGCTCAGGGAGGTTCGGGCTTGGTGGGCTTTCAGCGCACTGTGCATTGCCCCACTGCCTTCTCTGGTCATCAGCACACTCAGCCACCCTCCTGCTGCTTTCCCGCGCTGCCTTAGGGGTAGGCTCCATTGGGGGGGAAAAAAAAAGTGTCGAGAGGCCTGATTCCCCTCCCCCCAGAGCCTGCTTGTGGCCATGGGGTGAGCTGCCAGGGGCTCTAGTCCTTCCCTCCACAGTGGTGGCACCCCCTGGGGCCATCTGTGCAGGTTGCTAGCAGGCTGGGGGCTGCCCCTGCTCAGGGAGCATTTGGATGGGGCTGACCCACCAGCATCTTGGCCCCCAGCTGCGGGCAGTCTTTGTGGAAAAAGGATCAGGCCCTTCGCTGTAACAGTGATGGAAGCCCCTAAATTGAAATGGTAGGCTTTTAATCATCACAATTAAAAACCTACCATTTCAATTTAGGGGACTAAACCCCTGTCACGTGTACAAGCGCCCATCATGTCCTGATTGCTATATAGCAAAACTAAAATCCTACATGCAGCACTTTACCAGAGACAGGGCCTGACCTCAACCTTAGAGATGAGACTCTCGATACTCTTGGTTTAGAAAAATTTAAACCCAGCTATGTTTTTGCAAAACCATCCCTTACCCCAAACTCTTTTTGATGCTGGAAGAAAAACTTTATCCAACCTGCATGTTCCTCCACTTGAGGATTTTGAAAAATACAGACTTCAGCTCTGATCCAGGCCTGCTTGCAGTATAGCAAACACAAAATCTGAATAGGGAGGTTTGGCAAAAGTGAAACACAGGGTCCTTGGTCCATTTTTAATTAGCACAAAGCATAATTTGCAGAAACTCAGACCTGCCTCTGTCTGCCATTTACTCCCTTTGACAAAGAATGCCAGCACTGCCCATTTTCAGCTATCAGGAGGCAGGGAACATGGTGTATGATTCTCAGACATCCTAGGATTGGCAGTAGGAGGTGTTCCTTGAGGAGACTGCTGGCTCACTGAGCCCCAGGACTGGGTGATACCATGATCTGATCTGCAGCAAGCCTGCACACCTCTTTACTTCACTGAGTGTGACCTGGAGTTTTGAGGGGAACCCATGAGCTCAGGGATGACTTTTCCCTGATAACCTACTGTGACAATGGAACTGCCTTCCCCCAAATCTTAAACAATGGCTGGTGCCAGGCACTCCCCTCCTTCTCTCTGCTCCCTGGAGGACATATCAAGATGACAAGGCAGCAGACGACCCATAGCTGGAGTGGGAGGCGTCTCAACTCTTCTCCTCAGCAAACCAACAGCAGCCACTCTCCTTCAGGATACAACCTGAGAATGGGAGCAGCAGGGCAGGGAGTCCAAGACAGTTGTGACAGAGAGACATGCCTGGTCTGGAGAAGCTGAGAGCACAGGGGCTCCTGCTATCCTTTTTCTGCAGTATTAATGGTTCTGCTTCCCTCTGTCCTGTACCTCCTCATCTGTCTTGTCTCCAAACCCCCTCTACCCTGCTCAGTGGGAAGATGAGCAGCAAGACAGATGAAGGCACACTGCTGATTTGCACAATAGTGTGACACGGATGTTGGGTTTTACTTTCTAGCCCATCCTTTATACCTTTTAGCTTTCTTTTTTTAACTGCAACAGATGTTTAGTGATGGCTACAGACCATGAAAAAGGACCCGCAAAAGGAACCTGATACTGCAAGCTTTCTATCCCTGGATTCTAGCTGCTGTAGAAGAGACGGGGGTGAAGTATCTGGTGACACCCTGCATTTTGTTGATGGACATCTGGCTGCCAGCTAAGTAGCAGAAATGTGGCAGAAGAATAGGAATTGCTGTCCAGTGCAAATCCAGATCTATCCATTCTTAATGTATAGTAGGAGAGTGGAGAACATGGCTTGGATCTATCATCAGTAGCATCAAAAAGTGAAAATGATACTAAGAACAACAAAACCCAAAAGTCCCTTCTTCCAATTCCACTGATTTTCTGTTTATTCATATATCAGTATTAACTGGACAAAGAGAATCCTCTGGGAAAAGGAAAAATGGGATAAAAATGTGAAAGTGTTGCCAAGCAAAGGGGCTACACCCGGAATGAATTAAGGACATTCTCCGTTTTAAGGGGACTTAAAAAAACCCTCCCAAAACACTCTAAGTGCAGTTAATTTCATACCCTTTTTAGGTGTGGAAAATATATACTGGTATATATAGACAGTGCAGAAAGGAAAAGCAGCGATCCATCCTCCTTTAGCACTATATGCAGCACCTGAACTTTCCTCTCTCAGGAAGAAAATGTGGATTGGCTGCTGTTTCCACCACTACTATCAGTTACTCATGGTAAAAAAGACTTTAGAAAAATACTGTTTTCAAAATATGCCAAGCATGGAAGGCCTGGGAATCCCAAGGTGAAGCTATGTTTTAGGTAACCCACTGTCAACAAACACTGTAAAGGACAGAAGCACACTGCTATGATTTCCTATATGGTGGTCATGTTACAGGCTCAATTGCTCTTCATGGAGACCAGGGCAGTTACCCATCCCCTGCTAGTGCTGCACCCCCCTCCCAAGACGCAGCACAGGGGAAGGACAGGAAAGGTCCTGGCAGGGAATTAATTATTATTTTTTTTTACCTGGTACCGAAGTTCCAAGTGCAACAAACACAACTGCAGTCACAGAATCCTTCAGGCCGATGGTGCAGCCAAAATGGGATGCCAAGTCCCCAATGAAAGCCGTCAGGAGGCCAATCATCAAGATGGAGACGACAAAGCAGGCCCAACCATTCCAGTAGTCTGTGGGGGGCACAAAGGCAAAAAGGACCTTCCAGAAGACGGTCAAAAAGTGCATCACATAATCGAAACAGGAGGGCAGCTTCTCTTCCCCACATTCATCATCATCATCATCTTCTCCTGGAAAAACAAACACCATAGTCCAATCAAGTCCAGTACTTTAACAACATGATCATGCTTCTTTCCCACTGCTAACATGAGGATGGCTAGGACCACCACACCTTAATAAAATATAACAGTTAATATTGTTTCTTGGACTAAGTACTGATTAAGTACTTGACATCCACTGCTGCCAGGAGAAAAGCTTTCTGGTTTGAACTGATATAGCCCTGTGACAGAAAGGTGGTAGTAGGACACCAGGCATCTGTTGGGACCTGAGGCATGCAGGTATCACTGTTGTACCATTGCCACATTTTCTCTGTAGTTCACAAATTCACTGTATCAGCAGGTGCCAAATGAGACTCTGCTTTGTGTCAATCACTATTGGGTGAACCCAATAAACAGATATGCCTCTCATAAAGATAAACACGACCAAATGTTTTTCATAGATCAGGATTATTATTTACTAGTCTTTGACTAAATTCAGGGCTGGTCATTGGATTCAGGGAGTGAAGAGGCTGCCAGGGGCACTGATTTACTACCATGTTTACCCAAATATAAAATTACCCTGAATTTAAGACAACCTCCCAATAATTAGATTTTATACATGGAAAATTTATAAATTTCTTACAACTTTCCATGTATGAGATCTAATCATTGGACGATCATCTTAAATTTGCAGGTGGGGGGTGGGGGGAGAGGTAATGGGGCGCAGCAATGAGACAGGAGATGGCAAGTAGACAGACACTGGGGAAATCAGTAAGGGGTACGTGGCAGGGCAGATGGTGGGGGGCAGTAATGGGGCAGGCAGTGGGGGTGGTAGGGAACAGGCAGTAGGGGGGCAAGTGGTAAGGTAGTTGGTAGGGTCCCCTCCTGAAGCCTTAGGCTGCCCCAATTCCCCTTCCCCTGTGCCCCCCTTCCCCTTCATACTGCTTCTGCCCCCTGCAGACTCAGGTCTCCATCCCGCCCTTCCGCTTGCCTTCTCCCCGCTCCAGAGCCTCTCCCCCCTGCCTGTCCCTCCATCCCCACCCCACTTACCTTTGCCCCATGCCAGCAGGCTGTCCCTGCTGTAGCCTGGGACACAGAGCATGGCGCCAGCCCAGCCCCACAGCAGTGGCATGGTGCTGGCACTGCAATTACAGGGCTGGGTAGGAGCATTTGCTCCACGCTCCAGGTTTCAGTGAGGACAGAGTCTGCTGGAGTGGCGCAAAGGTAAGGAGGAATATGGGAGAGGAGGAGAGAGGGGGGAGAAATGCCAAAGGGGAGGACTGGAGACCACAGGGGAGAAGTGGCTGGGAGTGCAAAGGCAGTGCGGGGTAGGTAGCAGCTGTGGTTCTGGCTCCAGCTCTAACCCCTACTCCTTGCCGCTTTGTGCTCAATTGTAAGGCAAGGGGCTTTTTCCCCCCAGATTAAATAGGGGGTAAACTTCATCTTCTAATTGAGTAAATATGGTACATCTAGCCTTTCACCAGCTCAGAATATATAATTGCAAGTATCTGAGTGCCCATGAAATGCTGCAGTGCTTAATAATTGGTGTCTTAATTAGGTGGGAGGCTGCCCATTCCCTGCCCTGATGACAGGGGGCACTATCTGTGGCTCTGAAAACCTCCCCTACACCACAGCCCATGCCTTGCAGATGGCATCCACATGATATAATCATAACCTACCCCACGACTGGTGCTCCAGGGTCTCACAGGGACTCTCCCTCCCTCCCTGGAGCAGCAGGTCATTGTGCTTAACCTTTGGGTCTTTCTTTTGACCCACTCAGCTGCCTTGCGATGGAGGACTTACTGGGGTCAGGACTCACCCCTAACTCTCTGGCTGAGGCCCTGCACTTGGCCTCTGGCCCAACTACAGCCTCAGGCATCCATGAACATGCCTTGGCCTATTCCCCACTCCTGGGGTTCCTACTATGCTCACTCTGCAGCCTCTATACCACGCCCCACCCTGAGATCTTCTCAGCATCTTCACAATCAGCTACTCACAGAGCTGGCCCTGGCACTGCCCTTCAGGCTTACTCCCAGTTTGGCCCTACTCAACACACCCCTGGGACTGCCTTTTAGGCCTAGTCCCTGTTCAGCCCTACTCAGCCCCCCTCATGCACAGCCCTTCAGGCCTACTCCCCTTCAACCCTGCTCTCTGCGGGGCCCCCTCCACCCCTGCCCTCTCAGGGCATTCACAACGGGTCTCTTCCCTAGGGCCTCACTACACTGCCTTGTCTCAGGGCATTGGGGTCAACCACCCCCCGTAGGCTCAGGTGGCTCTCCACTTGCCATGCCTGGCCCACCACATTCACTACTCAGGGTCTTGCACCCCCTCACAGGCTCAGGTGGCCACAACCATGCCTGGCCCCACTACTGCCTCCAAAGCCCACCCAAAGATGGAGGCTGGGATTAAGGTGCCCCTCCTTGCCTTTCACTGGGGAACTAACTGGCATGGCATTTCCTGGGGGCTCCCATACCACCAGGAGCCCCACCAGGCCACCCTTCCTCAGCAGGGCGCAGTTTTAGGTTATGGCCCAGGACCAAGAGCCTCCTGCTCTTACCTTCTAGACATTCCTGCTGCAGCTCAGTGAGGAAATGTTTCTGCCTGCACTGGCAGCAGCAAACTGCAGCCTCTTTATACCTGGTTCCCCAAAATGACTGCCACCATCAGGCACCTGGTAGTTGCCTGACTCTGCCCTTAAGGTGCCCTGACACACTAAGGGACCAGGACCTCTCCAACCTCTGCAAGAGAAGACTGAGAGGTGATCTTGTGACCACCTACAAATTCACTGGGGGGTGGGGGGCAGGAGGGGCAGCAAGGAATAGGAGATGCTGTTTACCAGGGCACCCCTTGGAATAACCAGAAACAATGGCCACAAACTGATGGAGAGCAGATTTAGGTTACACATCAGGAAGAATGTCTTCATGGTAAGAGTTACCAGAATCTGGAATGGGCTTCCAAAGGAGGTGGTGCTCTCCCCTACCTTGGGGGTCTTTTAAGAGGAGACTGGACAAGCACCTAGCACTCTTTCCTGCCCAGAGCAGGGGGTTGGACTCAATGATCTACTGAGATCCCTTCTGACCCTAACAACTATGAAACTATAAGACAATTGTAAGAAACTCCTAAGCTTCTGTATAGAACCAGCAGAATCAGCACCCAGAACACTGGCATAAGATGAGGCTGGAGTAGAAATGGTGTAGTGTGGGTTATGGGCTTCCCTTGAGACAGATATAGCGAATTTAGAGCCTGGGGCACTGGTTGAACTGGAACTGCACTTGTGCCGAATGTTAGTGGGAAAAACAGCAGAAAGACAAGAGAAGTGGAGAGAGAAGGCAGCAGAGTCAGACGACCCCAGCTAGGTGCTTGTCCAGTCTCCTCTTAAAAGATCCCCAAGGTAGGGGAGAGCACCACCTCCCTTGGAAGCCCATTCTAGTCAGATAGCCTATTTTATGGAAAACTGAAAAGCATGTGGTTATATCAGGGTCACTCCTCACTACAGAGTGAGGAGTGACCTTACAGAGGCAGGGGTTGTACACTGGTAAACACCACAGCAGACTCCAACAGTCATTTGCTTGCCTCCTGAAACCTTTGCTTAAAGAAAGATGCATTTGGTGTCATTTCTTTAACAGTACATCTCAGTACTAGTATGATTTCATGGGCAGGTGACCGGAATATGTTACAGGTTCTCAAAACACCTTTTTGGGTCTAAGAGTGAAATGAGCCATCAATTTTAAATCCAGAAAAAAGTGTGTCCCATGCATCAAAAGACAGGTAACACTAGCTTAGAAGGTTTTGAGCCTCCCTTATGTTATTCTCATTTCTCCTCTCTGCAGCTTCTCTAGTTCTGTGGTATTAGTTTTGAGCTTGGGCAACCAGTCCTGTACACCATTTCCAGATCATCCCTAATTTGTATAAAGCAGGGGTGTCAAAGATCTGCCCTGGATCTAGAGTTGACCCACATGCTGCATGCATACACTGACTTCCAGATCCCTCTCTTGGGTTGATATAGTAAATTCAGAACCCTGAGAGGGTTTTTACCCATCCAATGTGCACTGCATATATTCATCAATACCAAACTTCCTTCACCATCGCACCACTCATATCCCCAGTGGATGTCTCCATAGCTCCTTCCAGCCTCCTGGTGAACCTAGATAACTCTGCCTCATCTGCAAAGGTTCCTACTTAATTGCTCCTGCTCCTTTCAATATCATTTGTAAATACACTCACCACCGCTTAGAGTGGCAGGTTAGACTAATGCCTGCTGCATGAGGCAGAGAGTAGTACATTTCAAATATTAGCTTGACATTCAGACTGCCCCAAATCATCACTAAACAAAGTAATACATTAATATATAAAAAAATTAAACAGATGAATAAAATATAACTTGTAACATTCCAAGTGCTGTTTGTAACTGCTCTTGCTTGTTTCCAGCAATGAACTCTGCAATTTACATTTGCACTGCCTTTTTCTGGCAGTCTTGTTTAAAGAGCTACTGTAATTGTTCCCTAAGAAGTGCAAGCAAATGGCTGATGGAGTCTGCTGGGGTGTTTACCAGTGTACAACCCCTGCCTCTGTAAGGTAATTACTCTGTAGTGAGGAGTGAACCTGATATAACCACATGTGTTGCAGTTTTCCATAAAATAGGGCTGTCTGACTTCCAAGCAGCTGGGGGCCAAGAGCCCTGTGGGTTGCACCAGCAGGGGCTGCACAACTGTAGACAACACTATGACTAGCCATGTGCTGCATGCACACACTCCTGCTGCACCACACGTTGGCAGCCCCCCATGTTCCCCCTCTATCACCACTACATTGCATACCTGTGCAGCCCCAGACTCACCCTCAGTTCCCCTGGCCACACTGTGCTGCGCTGTCCCATGCCACGGGGTGGGGGCAGGAAGCAAAAGCCAGAGGAGGAAGGGGAAACCTGGAGATTCTGGCTCCAAGAGCAGCTGGAGTGATAGGAGAAGCAGTGGCCAGGCAGGAGTCTGAGGGTTACAGCTTGACCCTTTGTGGGCCATATGTGTCCTGTGGGCCACTAGTTGGACAGTCCCAGTATAAATGATGCTTTTGTCACTGAAATCTATGGGGTGGCAAATGGCTAACATGATAGAAATAGCTGCCTGCATTAGCTGTGGTAAGGACTGTATGTTAAACAACATGGTTTCTAATATGGAATCTGGAGAAACCTTGGGTCACATCTTATTCTGCCTATTAGGTGTACTTGGGTACCTAAGGCCATTTCTTTTCCATCCTGTTCATGTCCTTGCAAACCCATAATGCATTAATGTAAAACATGATCACTGGACGCTTAAAATTGAAACAAGGGTTTGCTGGATGATATCATTTATTGGTCCAACCATATGGCTGAGAAAGGTATTAGACAAGCTTTCAGGTAGAAAGTGCCCTTCCTCAGGCCTGGGAAAGCACTGTATAATCTGCCTTCTTTTTTCTTTATGTTGTGGGATTTCCATTGTTACATGATGACTTTCAGTATCATGCCATAGTAGGATTGTAGTGCTGTTGTAACCACAATGATTCAGGAAATATGCAAGAAACAAGGGCGTTTTGCTGGTATCTTTTACTGGACCAATTGTGTACTTTCTTCTTGGACATTTCCTGGACCATCATCACATCTACAACGCTCCAGCCTAAAGATTGAATCACAAAAAAGCAGTGAGGAGGACCACCTCCCCATCTTTTGCATTTACAGTTATTCATGCCTTCGAGTTGGGTGGATTAAAATTGTACTAAGGTGCCTGAGTCCACTTATGTACCTAATGGGTGCAACAGATACAGGTCTTTACTGTAAAGTTTTTTTCACGAGGATACTGTTCCACCCTCATTTTTGCTATCTATCTCCAAGCCAGGTCCATGACCAAACTTAACCTCTCTCTGCCTTGCTCAGAGACTGCTGGCAAATCACTTCCCCTTTGCCAGCTTCTGTTCCCATGCCTGTTTTTCTCCTGTTTTGATTGTAGACTCCTCTGGAGGGGCCTGCCTCTTGCTTGCATGTGTGTATGACATCTAGTGTAATTAACTCTGGCCTCAGCAGGGACCACTAAATGCTATTGTAATACAAAAACTAATGTAATATAATTTTGGTCAGCTCCCTTATCCTCTATGGGGTGTGCCCTTCGAAGCCTCTTAATTAGCTGCCACTGAATTATCATGTGTCTACCGCTGAGGTGAAAAGGTGTAGCAATTGTGTCAGTACTGTTTTTTCAATTATTCTGATTTGTTGGTGTACCTCTCCTGGTAACAGAATGACTTGCCTCCTGCCTCCTTTGCAGGAACTTGTAAGGGTGATGAACCTCCTCATGGTGGTTCAAAGCAAGCTTGGGGGATGGGTTTTGCAGAATAGTAGTACATATGCTCCTTCCTCCTGACTACATGCGAAGAGACAGAATGCAGATAAAATGCAAAAGTAATCCTTCCCCATGACCCCTGCTCACCAACTAGAGTCTACTGCACACCTAATTTCCCTTTGATTTGTTCAAAGCACTAGTTTAATGGAATCTGAGACAACACTTAAACCACTAAATTAAGCTGGGCAGGCCCGTTGAAATTCAGGTCCACTCTACATCCTAGTGCTAGAGACTTCAGCTTCAAGTGTGTCACTCAAAATAGTCACTTGACATCCTGTCTCCATGGACTCCCTGACAGTGTGCTGACATCTTTGATGAAGGCTTTGACATGCTGATTCACTCAATGTGGCTCCAACAGGATGTCTTGTCTGACCCACAGCCAGAAACTTTCCTCAATATCGAAACTGCATTTCCACTGCAGTAAAAGAACTTGCAGGCATTGGAACTGAGCTAGCCCTTCTAAGGTGTCACTGCATAAGCACCGTATGCTGAAGGACCATCTTGTGCTTATGGCACTGGTCTGAGATATTGGAGACCTGGATTTAAGCCCCCAACTTGTTATAGATTTCCTGCATGACCTTGCTCATGACAGTTAATGACTCTGTTCCCCAGCTGTAAAGTGATGATCATACTGCTTCCTTTGTCTTCCATGTCTAGACTGCAAGATCTTTGGGGCAGAATTTTTCGTATTCTCTGGAGACACACAGAGCATAGCACGCTGATGCCATGGCTTAGCTTGGGGTCTCTTGTTCCCCCTAGCATGCTAGGTGCTAGATTTGTTCTTACAAGTCAAAGCTTCCTCTGAGGTACTAACCTAGATTTCCAGGAGTGACTACTGATTTGTGGGCCCTTGTGTTTTGGGTGCCTAACCTGTACCTGGTGCCTGTTCTGGCCAGGCTGGAACCCCCACTGCACATATGCACACACACTGTGGCCAGTCCAGAACACATTCTGCACGTGATATTCCTCCTTCCTGGAGGCTCCAAGGTGGGCATTGCATGCAGTGTGGGTCATGGACTGGATGGAGTGGGAGCTGCATGTGGGGCACATACCAAACCAATTCTGCATAGGCACTGCATGTAGGGGTGGTCCCAGACCAGTCAGAGCAAGTGCTGCATTTGGTAGATCCTGGCACGTGGAGCATGGGACATGTCTGTGGGCCTGAAACAGCCTACATGGTCAGTTACGTGCTATTCATTCAGCCCATCAACAGGCCTTGCACCACTATTCTAGCCTGCAGGCCCAGATGCTTTTGACACCCCTGCCTTAGAGCCTCTTGGAGAAAATGGTGATACACATACTGGAGACAGAGGTGCACCACATGGAGCACCACAGAGGTGGGGTAGCAATGCCTTCAGGCTCCCCAGAAGCACAGTTCCAGACTGTGTAAGACAGCAGGAAGCTCATTTCACTCTTGGGGTAGAAAGAAGATTTTGAAAGGCTGAGTGCTGCCTTTTGCAGCAGAGGATGCAGCCAGAGCAGCAGATGCCTTAGGAATAAGTCTTTTCAAGGCATTAGAAAGCAGAGCTGACTTCTGGCTAGTCTTGTGGCCTTTTAAACCAATGACCACCCTCTGGCTACCTCCTCTGGATGGATGCTCTTGTCCTAACAGATCAAACACAACTAATTTAAAGGAACAATCTGCCCTAGCCCCTAGTTTTCAAAAAGCTCTTTTATTTGGAGAGCTGGGATAATTGCCTCTTTGTTGTTGGGAAGGTTACAATCGCCATAATAACTGCATGCAATTTTCTTAAGCTTTGCTGCTGGCCTGCATGAGCTTTTTCCTTTCCACATCTCTTTATGCAGTGATGACACTTTTTAGTTTAATTGAAAAGAAAAATGTTTAAAGTCTCCAGCAGGGAGAACAAAATAATCTCGCTGCACATGGTGTATCAATGGTAAGCGCCAACCTACACTGCATTCAAACAATGGTTGTACAATGTAACAAAAGACTAATGAGGAGTCACTTCTGGCTGATTACTTGCTCTGCTGCCATTCATTATGACTGCAGCCTCCCTGCCCTGATTGCTTGTGCTGGTCTGAAGGGTTGTTTGACTATTGCAGTATGTTTTTCACAACATTTGGAGGAAAAAAACTTACACCATAAATGACAAATGCACTCCAAGACAGACCCCTGTACTCTCCAGTGTCATACACATTCTCTTTTTCACCCTGTCTGGTAGCTGCCATGTATTGCAAGTTCTTTTTTATGGATTACTCTCCTTAACCATATTACTTCCCTGAGAATCTCTAAATACAACAATAGCCAGCAGGCTAGAGGCATCCCTCCCTTCCTGGTTTCACTTCCAGCCAGCTTTCTCCAAACTTTGTGGGTCCAAACGTGTCTTGCAATTCCCTTAAATTTGACCCTTTATGGTTTTGCTATTTTGCACCAAAAAGCTGTGGCAGACATTGCCTGGCAATGTTAGCGGTGAATAGAATAGTAAAGAGGGCAAGTTATACACTGGCAACACCACACTTAGGTGAACGTGGCACTCACATATATAAGGTGTGGAGCAATATTCCATTCAATACCGGTCCTGCAGACCGGTACCCCATGGTTGTCGTCCATGTGGGTA